ATATTTTATTTTCACAAGTTCATTGATAGAACATTAAAATTCTATCGCGTTCTGCTGCCAGTTGGATATCTAATCAAGAAGATTATTCCTCAACTAGTGGATGAGTTTTTCTGCTTGGAGGGTTTGCTATTTCCTGGGCTTCTAAAACCCAAAGTTACATTTCAGATTCATCTATGGCATCTGAATTTGTTGTATTGGCTTCGGCATGCAAAGAAGTTGATTGGCTAAGGAATTTAATTATTGAGATCCGGGGTTGGCCAAAACCGATGTCACCAGTTTTGGTACATTGTGACAGTGCTACTACACTGGCCAAATCATATAATAATGTTTATAATGGCAAGTCAAGACACATGCATGAGACATAGTTATGTGCGGGAGCTCCTAAGTAATGATGTGTAGCACTAGACTTTGTCCGGTCTCGACTTAATTTACAGATCCATTTACAAAAGCCTTGGCAAGGGACATGGTTTTAAAGACATCATAAGGGATACGGAAAGCCTAATTATTTAATTACAATTGAAGGAAATCTCTACTCACGTCTAAGTTAGTACGTTAGACCTTGAGTTCAATGTAGATGAGTACTTCATTTTAATTTGTGATTGCAAGTATTAAAAGTTTAAATTAAAAATTGTATCCCAAGAAACGTTGATGCCCGGTTCTGCATTGAAGTAGGGATGAGTGTTTACTCTTAACTGATCTTTTGAAAAAATGCAAGATGCAATGCATGAGATAAAAGATTAGCCTCTGTGAGCATGAAGTGTGGCCACTTCAAACAAGTTTGGGCTTTACTTGGTACGTGCTCATTAATGGATACGGACACAAGGTCATAATAGTGTCAAGTTACAATGAGTTATAATGACTGTAAAACTTGTGTGTGTTATATCTACATTTCTTCAAAGAGACTGCGTGATTCAAGGTTTGTCCATCACTACAATCCGAATTAATGTAACACATATAATACTATGTGAAAGTTCAATTTGTAAGACACTTTCATTTATGCATGAGTTTTGGATTTATTTTGGTACAGTATTAATCTTTACTATATAAATGGATGAGAAATGTTAGGAAATTTATATAGTAATGGAGATTAATATTTCAGATGGACTACCATGTAAGCTTAAATAATATTTAAAGTTGTAGAGTTATAAATATTATTTTAGTTTGGTAGAAATTCAATTGAGAAATATGAATTTTACGTACGGTTGGAACCGAAAAGCACTCAGTTCCGGGATTGAGAGATTAACAACCAAGGGGTTAATTTCCGAGTCGTTGATATCAAATAGTTGATTTCAAGAGGTTCCCATTCAATGCCCCAGGGCTAAAGCTCTTTCAATGCCCCCAATGAATTGGCAGGGGTTTGTGTTCCTCAAGCTTTGGTTGAATGCTTGTGAATCCCATTTTCAACATTGAAAAATGATATATGGACTCCCATTTTTCCAATTTCCTCACCCCCAAGCCCTACATCTAGCGGGCGTGATAGGATAGTGGATGGGAGGGACCTGGTGAGGAGCACACCACATTGAATGTAATTCCTATGTTGCGGCTGTCAAGATAGTGGAGGGGAGGACCAATGTTTAACCCACCCATTGTGGTTGTCAGGGTTCGATCCCTTGTCCGTGTCCACAATCTAACACTTTGACTCAGGAACTAATTAAACTGTGTGTGTGGGCTCCCGTCACATGTCTTGATTATATTGATAGAAGAGAAAGATACTAATAAAAGTTGTAGGCCACTTTATTTTCTGGATGAATAAGAACATGCTATGTAAGCCGGGAGTAAAAAGTGGAGTAAGGATTGAATGTGTAGTACTACTCGAAAAATAAAGCAAATAATATCTGGACACTTAAGATGTATTGTCAACCCTCTAGAAGGTGCAAGGAGAGGGTGCTTGCATATTCCATAAGAACTATTCAACACTAAAGTTTATGATTATTCGCAGGAATCAGGGCCGGCCCTGGGGCAAGGGCAGGCTGGGCCCTTGCCCAGGGCCCATGCTTGGAGGAGGGCCCCATCCTATCTCTTATATATATAGTATATATGTATTGAGTAATAGTAATTTATATACATATTTTATATAGTAAAGTGAATTAGCTAGGTTGGTAAGATTCTTGAATTTCAATCATTTTTAATCAAAGGCCCGTGATCCAATCCTTCCCTTCACAATTTAGAATTCTTCAACTTTACTTCTTTGCTTATATTTTAAAAATTTATTTTATTGAATTTTTGTGTTTAATACGGAATAGTATTTTTAATGTAGTTTTTAAATAAATAAATTTTCATATATTTATATTAAACATATTATGAAAATTTTTTATATTAAATATATAAATTTTTATATTAATTTTTAATGCAATTTCTAAATTTATAAATTTTTATATACTTATACTAAAAATATTATGAAAAATTGAATTAAAAAAACTTCAATCAACTCATGTTAACCAAACAAAACATGTAAAAATAGGACGGATGGGGTTATATGATATATTTTGAGATTAAATTATAAAAAAAATTAAAAGATAATTTACTCCGTGCCTTTTTATGAATATCTAATCAATCTAATATAGAAGCTTCTATCATGTGTCATTATATGTATTCAAATTACTCTTTAAAAAGTTTAAAATTTATCTATTTAAAAGAAAAAGTATTTGTATAAAAAAAAGTATTTATAAAAATCATATAAATAATATAGAAGATGTGTGATTTATAATATGCTTTATGTTCAAACTATTTTATCTAAATAATTATGTTTCATATCTTTTTGCATTTTTTATTGCGTTTTGAAATATTTTAATTTTTTGTTCCTAGTCAAAAAAGATTTTTAGCTTTCCATATGTTTGTAATTATTGTTTTATAAATTTTTAATAATAATTAATTTATTATTTCTATCTACTATACTAATAAGAGCCCAAGAGAGTTAGGCCTATAATGGGTAGAAAAAATGACGGTCACAGATTTTAATCAAATGAATGGCTCAGATTGATTAAAAGATTGATCAGATTTAAATTTTACACTAAAATTTCCGAAAATACCGACACACCGTTACTAATTCCGTTAAAATTTTAAGAATAGCCGTTAGTTCACCGTTAACTTACTCATTGATTTCAATAAAAAAAAAAAAAAAAAAAAAAAAGTCTTAGGTTCGAACCTCATCCCAGTCAAAGTTGGCATAATTAGTACTCTATTTTACTCTTATTAAATTATATAAATAATAATTTAGTAGTTACAACAAAAAATAATACATATGCATTTCTTTAATTTAGAATTATGTGTCCACAATGCCTTTATTCAAAAAAAAAATTATTCATTATCAATAAATTAAATAAGAGAAATAATTTTATTAGTTATATTGTCTTTATTTTTCTTCAATATAAAAATTCTTTATATTCAAATTTATTAATTGATTATATTCGCTACATTGTCCTTACAATGTCTTTATTCAGTGAAAAAAAAATTATTAATTATCAATAAATTAATTTTTCATTAGTTATATTGTCTTTATTTTTCTCAAATATAAAAATTTTTACATTCAAATTCATCAATTGATTATATTCACTACATTATCTATTATCTTTTTTGTGCACTATTTTTCTAATTAAATATCAAAGTTATAATACCAAATAATGCTATATATTTATTTACCAAGTATTTTATTAATACCATGAAAAAATTAAAAAAAAATATAATTAATAAAGCGAACCATATTAACTACTTGAGAGATTTTGTGACAAAGAGAGTATTCAAATCATACAACAAATTGAAGTGAGAACTACCTCGCAATGTCCTTGTTTGACAATCAGCAGTTAGTGGTTAGCGTTAGCGGATTATACTAGCAGATTTGACCAGCGAATTTATTTAATTATTAACATTGGGTAGAAAAAATGACCGCCAAATTATTAAATCAAATGAATGGTTCATATTGTTCAGGTTTTAATTTTTTTCTTTTAAGATTTTCTAATTTATCCTTAATTATATGATTATCCATTTAACTTTTCCGTTAATTCACCGTTAGTCTAATTCTAATATTAAAGTCTAATATAGAATTATAACTACACCATTAATCTAATTCTAATATTAAAGTCTTAATAGAACTTAACCACAAATCCTAATGTCGGAATCTCCTCAAACAATATTAGTATATATATTTAATATTTTATGCCCTAATTTTTATTTGTTCTCCCTTATGTCCCGTATTTGGTTTCAACTATACCTATACAATTATTTTATTGACAATTATAATCAATCTTGACTATATTATCTTGCATTTGTAAACTTAGAATTACCTATTTAACTCGCACGGGCTTAGCTCAATGGTTTAGTGGGTAGTATTTGGGATAAGAGACCAAGGTTTGAACCTCGGCGGCGGCAATGCGGGAATTATGTTCAAAGTGGGCGGATTCCTTGTGCGTATCAGCATTTGGCCCTGTCTGCTGAACTATTGAGTCACCGTGATTTACAACTTCCCACAATGCTCTGTCGGGTCGGAATGTGGGGGACCCTTGGGGTTGGGGACTCAACCTTTGGGAGAAGAATTACCTATTTAAATACGCAAATTCAACCTTCAATTATCTATGCATGAACAATTTCAATATAATCCTGCCTTAATATACTTTAAAGTACTTATTTAACAAAAAAGCATTGGGCATTATCCCAATCGCGCAATGCGCGTAAAAAACTAGTATTATGATAAATGTTATTGTTTATAATTTTACTCGATTTTAAATTATTTATTCATTTTTATAAACTATAATATTATTTATTTATGAAGGCACTTATACGATTATTTATTATTTTGCATTAAGGAAAGTACCTAGAATTTTTTTTTCATGATTATTGTTGTGTATGTAAAATTGTTAAAAACTTGTTAATCTTATTTAAAATTATTTATATTAATAATGTTTTCCTTATTTAATTTAAATTTTAGGCATGAAATATATATTAACCGGGGCAATTTTTTTTTATCCTGCCCGCGTGTCCGGGCCTATAAAATGATAGGACCAGCC